ACAGCATATGTCAACACCTGTCTGTCAGAGTAGTGTCTGTATGGCTGGTTTCCCAGCTCAAAGAGCTCCCACGCAGTCACTCCCAACGACCTGAAACAGGCAAAGAAATCATTCATGGGGCTCAGTGCTCACATCTCAGACATGGCAATGTTTCAAGCAAGTTGTTCATTTAATACTACAACCTTCTTTATGTCCTGTCACAAGTACTCTGTATGTGTGAGATATATTTAATAATCAAAAAGTGTCATACGAATAGGGGATCACATTTCTAAATGCCAAATTGAACCTGTCCAAGTTGTTAGAAATGTTATTTGTGCATGTTTCACACGCATCAACCCTTAAACAAAAGCAAGAATAAGGGTTCATATATTACATATTTTAATAACAGTGATGTTGGTATGGTAGCTTTATCTCAGTAAATCTGCAATAATCTGTGTGTCTGTCTTTGAATATCGCACCAAATGTTGCTGCTTTTGGTTTGGTCAACAACCAGCAGGTTTCCATGGACCTCATCTATGAGCTCAGGTGCGATCCAGCGCAGAGGCACCCAAATCTGGTCTTGTGTTATATAATAGTCATCCTACAGAAATAAACAAAAAAAAAAAAACGTGCTTGAATGCTGATAGGGTATCAGTCGAAAAATTAGTGACAATATCGAAAGACTGACCTTGTATCGGCTGTGAGAAAGCCCATAGTCTCCAATCTTAACTGACATTTCTGAAGTTAGCAGGCAGTTTCGCAGGGCCAGATCACTGTTGGGACAAAGAGACCCAGTGACAAACTTTTCTAAAATACTAAAAAATTAAAAAAAAAAATGTTGAAAATACCGTGTACTGCACAGTACTGTTTTATTGCAGCCAGTATAACACAAAATTTTGAATGTTGACTTTGCACTACCTTATGTTGTTAATTGCAATATATCACTAAATTCTGATTAATCAAGCCAAAGTCTTATTTAAAGTATATCAAGAAATGGATACAAGTACAGAAACATTTCCTGTTTCTTCTCACTTGACCATGTGAAGACACACACTACAGTCAGTTTAATCTCACCTCCTTCACAAATCAAGCTTTTCAGCCTGACAGTCGCTGACTGGTTGCTAAAACCACCACCACATGGTTGAGAGAGAGGGAGAGGGGCTCGCCCCCGGCAACAAAATCACTGATGCTGGAGTTTGTGACAACTACTCAGGCAGCACCAGGATGTTGTTGCAGGGAGAGACCAGCAGGGGGCACACAGACCATGCAGGTGGATTCTTCCTTTTTTAAAACATTAACATTCAGGTTGATGAAGGTAAGGGGAGCAGGATTGACTTAATTTACCTGTGGATAAAGTTGTATTTGTGGAGGTGCAAGAGCCCTGAGGCAATGTCACACGCCATTCTCTGGAGGATCAAAGGGTCAGGAGTCTCAGAATCAGCTACCCGACAGCTGCGCAGGTAACTCTTCAGATCACCCTGAGAGGACGAATAAAATGAGTGCGCTGTTCTGACTGTTAATGATCACTACAAACAACACTGACGCAGACAGGAAATAATGGGATATGTGTGAAGGACTGAATAAACTCATTTTTATCATTAAATTGTGTCCTACCAGAGGGCAAAACTCCATGACCAGCAGATAAGGAGTGACCTCTGAACACTGTGCCAGGCACTGCAGAAGGGCAGGATGCTGGAGGGTTCTAACAGAGCAAACAGCATTTAAATAGAAATGAATGCACAAAAAACATTTACACAATATATAATCCGATTCGTCGTGTACATTGTTTCATTGTCGTCCTTTAAGCATTGAATAGTGGACTGACCGGTATGGCTGGACTTCCTCCAGGAATTGCATCTGATCCTGGACACTGGCACTGGCCTTCAGCTCCTTCACCACCACCTGGGTGGTGCTGAGGCCTGCATTGACTTCTCCCAGCAGAACCTGAGGGGAATACACAGAATGGACAGCAGAGTCACGGTTTTATATCAGACAGGAATTAAAGTTGGAATGATAAAAGACTGGATTGACTACAAACGGCATCAACATGCAGTTCCAACCTGAGAAACTAAAGTACCCTAAAGACAAAGTTAAATGGGAATATCGCACAAGCAAATCCAGGAAGTGTCACAGCATAGTACTGTAGGGTAAACTGTAAGGAATCTACTGTGACTGCAAATTTCATAATGTCTCCCATGGAATTAACATCCTGATGCAAGTCCAAAGATTCGTCTCGCTGGAGTCAGACAGTCATCACATTACCCGCGCATTCCACCAAGACGAGAAGACAGTTGGTACAGTAAAGACGGATACTGTTAGACAGTTAAATAAGTAACAATAAGTACAAAGTTGGTGTCTCCAGATCCAAATGATAACTGTACGTATGTTTCAGAACAAAAAAGAATTGCATTTATTGATCTACCTTGCCAAACCAGCCATGTCCAATCTCCTTTAGATACAGCAGACTATGGCGGCCAAGGTCTGATGATTTCAGCAGTTGGACTGGAAGGAAAAAATAACAAAGACGTTAAATTGCTTTTAAACAGGAACAAAAGACTGCTATAGTCAGAGATAAGTGAGTGAAAGAAAAGAAAAGACAGACACTTCTCAAAAGACAAGCTTTCAACGTATTGAGAAAAGTAAAGAAAGAAAAAATAAAAAGTTAAGGGCTGTCTGCAGAAACAGAAGACAGATGCAATGCAGAAAAAAAACACAAAGAGATATAAGATGAGAAAAACACAAACCCCTTAGAGCATTTTCTTTAAAAATAAAAAACAACGCATTGCATTTATGACAGACAGAATGGCCTTGAGGCAAATAAACTCAAATTTGCTGCTTCCCAGTTACATAAAATAATTCTTTGAAAACAAGGGAGCCTGTTGCCACCACACACAACTTCACCACAGAGACATCACAAGTCTGCAAATCATACTAAGTCATGGACAAACTCAAATACCTCCATGGATCCTCATATTTCAGGACTGAAGACGTTGATGGTGAGCGAGCAGACGATGGTGACGGAGCAGTGGAGCGGCCAGCCACTCTGAGCACCGTGACAGGGACAGAGTCCGAGTCCCCGGCGGGGATGAAATACTGGTTCAGAGTGTGAGAACCGAGAGCCCATGGCCCTGGCCCCAGCCCCAGGCGTCTTAGCCTCATTGTGCGCATCTGAGAATGAGCCCACGATCGCAGTGTGTGTGTGTGAGAGCCTCGGCAGGATTTAACCCTCCGAGCCCTTGCACAGCTGAACAAGCTCACCATGCTGCCTCTCCCCGTCTGCACCGAGCTCATCCTCCAACTGGGACACACACAAACACACACACACTGTCCTCGTCTAGAGCTCTCCAGCTGTCGAGCAAATACAGAAATCCTTGGTTCCTATACCAACTATTTTTAAATCTACAGTAAACAGAAGGAGATAAAAAACTTATCAGCTGTAAGTGAGTGAACCGATCAGCCGACGGGTCGACGAGGAGTCCTGAGGTGGATTTCTGCCCCGGGTGCTGAGACTTTCTGGTCATGTATCACGCCTGATGTGACTGTCACGCATGTTGGTAGTGTGGCGTTTGACGCGCCAGCTCTGTGCGCAGCTTCAAGATACCCAGTAGTGACATAAGGTCCACATAATGCCCCCCTGTCACCCAGGACAGCAGCATTCCTCAGCCAAACATGACACAAACACTGCTCTGTCCAACGCAGAAAAGACCTCTGTCATACACACTCGCCACCCCTATCTCAAGTCTCCCCTCCCTGCTCTTAGGTCCTGGTGCATGCCACCACCCTTCCCCTGTCTCTCCTCATTCTGTCACAGACCCCTCACTGTATTCTTCCCATAATGCCAGTCCTCCGCTAGTGCGTTCCATGGACATTTCGGCCTGGCCTTATGCTCCCCCACTGCCCAGCCGGCCTAAAACAGGGCCATTGTTCGGTTCGCTCACTCACACGCTCACGTTGTGTCTCCTGGTACCCAGTGCACCAAACACACATTCACAGGCACGTAAAGACGACACACACAAGGCCCATTCTCCACTGGAACGCTGGGCAGAGGTTGTCACGGTGATAACAGACCCACGCTTCTCCACCCCAACTCCCCGAGCCTTCACCACCCCTCCCGGACAGAGAGAGAGAGAAATTAAGAAGTGGTATTATTCCAAATGTGGAATGTGTGAGCGTGAGTGTGCATTCCTGTCCTACTAACGGCATTCCCAGAGAAGATGGCAGGGTCCTGTGGGGCTGCATGATTGGTGGGACCATGGAATGAAATGCTGCATCAAGCCTCTATTGTGGTTTTAAAAGTTTTACATGACCTCTTGAATAAAAGATTAGAGCAACAAGTGGAAACCGGGACTATCAGATCAATGGTAAACGTTGTACTGTGTGTTCATGCTGATGTATAACTGATGTTTGGTTTGTATGGAAAACATCATTCAGTGTTCGTGTATACAGTGTACCATTGGTATTTTTCTTACAGTTGCAATTACAAAGCTCTCCTATTCATCGTCTGTATATTCAGATGAATGTGATCGTTTATGACATGTGCATAAAACAGGTATTATGTATGGAGGAGCTTCCAGTGATCAAGTGTGGCAACAACAAATAAGCTCTATCAAGCACCCTGTTGAATTCTTAACCTTTATGCCATATTTGTGAAAATGGGTTTAATCTTTTTGTGTTGATCTTTTCACATTTGCACGTTTATATGACAATAATAGTAGAGTAATGGGAAGATAATTTTAGAACAAAAAATTCCCTATATGTTCCATTCCCCCCCAAAAAACAGTAAACACAATAAATAATGGTACATGTTTCACTGTTTCCACAAAAGACAGGACGAGTGAGTCAGAGGCCGTTCGCCTTCCGATTCAGTGGAAGGAAACACTCTCCCTCTTCCACAATCTCTCCTTAAGCTATTTATCCATTCCTCGCCCTGCAACACCTGGACCAATCACACAGCAGTAGCTATGGGGGACAGAGGCGAGTGTAGCGATTGGCTGCGAGCCTGAGGCTGCCTTCTCCAATCATTACTGGCGCTCACATCCTGGGATGCGGAGCAGCAGCTCGCTCCCTTTTGGCTGAGCACAGTGCAGCACAGACAGCCAGTGAGTCATGCAGGGTGAGGTACTCAGCACCCAGGATCTGGCTTATACTGAGATACACACACGCACACACACACACGTCATACTAATTCACATACACATTTTAACATGATGGGTTTGAGGTAAGAATGAACTGAAGAAACACAAACCGGCTGGGACGGATTACAGATATAGAATACAAAACGTATACCTCAACGTAACATGGATGTGTGTGGAAAGTCTAAAATATATGAGTATTATATAAATGAGAACATGTCGAATGTAACATGCATTTAAACACATAGAGCTCCAGAAATAGTGTACAGTGGGGTTAGATCAGATTCCTTCATCTCCAGTGGGTTACGGTTTTTACATAGAATATGCAGCACTGCAGTCGGTCATTTTCTAAATATATTACACAATGGGCAGATGTCTGTCTCTTGTAGAGAGACAGTGAGAGGGTAAGAGAGAAGAAACAAATAGTAAAAGACAACAAATCAAAGAGGCCCTATTTATTCCACTTAAGCTTTCTAAACTGTTCTCAGTTTAATATCATCAGTAAAGTCAATATTATGTTCCACAGTGTGCTGTGCTTCAGAGAAGTGACAACCTTCGGTACTTTTGTTAACATGTGCAAAAAACAGATGCTCAGATGTTCAGGTACATGACTTAGTGTGCTGATGGTGTCGTGTAGTTTCTTACTGGATCTGCCGGGCTGTTTGGAGACAGGCAGGGACACCTCAGTGAGGGGAAGGATGTAAACCTCGGGGCCATTCTGGGAGGAAGGCGAGGCCAGGGCGGAGAGATCTGCCTGGTACTCCTCGCCCTCAGTGTTTTCAAACTCCTGGTGCAAAGACACACGCTGGGATTAGTCATCCACTCACAGCCGTCCTTCCACTGAGATGGTGGGAGACAATGGTTCAACTGTGAAGGCATTTGAATGCACTCAGGCACATCCACCTACCTATATACATAAGTCATGTACATTGTGTGGGTCACTGCTGAGGCGCTGTGCGGGAGCACACTAATGTATACTGCTATTCAAACTGTATACACAAAGGCTTTCTTTCTTTCGTTCTGCCTTTTCATTCTTCCTTATTGACACACTCTTAAGCAATAAAAGTTCACATACATAATTAAAGTTTTTATGTTTTTGCTTTTTAAACGAGTAAAAATATATATGTTTAGTACATTTGAACCTGTAAGGACTTGAAGGGTGAGCTAGTTTTGGGGAAAACATCAGCCCTTGCAGCATGTAAAAAATATATATCTCAGAGGGAACATCGGTGTCCTGATTTTGTGAAGCTATGATTGCACTATCATGAGCCTTTACCATCCACAATATGCAATAAAATTTTAAAACCATGGTTTCTTCTTGGTCTCGCACGCTACTGCTCCAAAAATACACAAAATACCTGTTCTGGAAGGTCATCAGTAGGGCTTTGGGACCAGAATTGTGTCCCTGTTACACCACAGTGTAACTGCAAAACCCTGGACTGCAGTTTCACTGTCTCCTGTTCACTATGAAATAGATCACTTGAAATAACCTTTACAATATACAGTAAAGGTTAAGTATCTACTCCACATCAGGAAAAAGAGCAAGAGAAAAAGTTGGCTCCATAATCAGCTATGCAGAAAAAAACTCAGGTCCCTTAACTGCAGATTTACCCTCCTCCTCACCACCACTGCTAATAAGATGGATGAAGCAGAAAATCGTGACCCTCTCTCTCTCTCTCTCTTTTCATTCTCTATACTCCATATCCCACATCCTCTGCTGTGGCCTGTCTGCTTTAACTCTACTACCCTTCTTTCTGCCCCATCCAGTTTTACTCCCCAGCTTACTGCAGTGTCCTTGCTCTAACTGTTGTAGTGTGTCCCTATAGCACTCTGTCTTTCTAAAGCCCTATGCAGTATGTATAAAGGGGGCTGATATTAAACTAAAGGCAGGTCATATGGATAACATCAGCCTCCTTGTGTCAAACCACACAGTAGGAACACAAGAACAATCTTTTATTGTCATTGCACTGTCAATCTTGCACTGTTCCTCCGCCACATATAGAGTCAAAATCTGCTCTGTCTTCTCTAGGCAGCTATTATTTATTGCTTTAACACAAAGACGTGGATGAGCCTTCTGGCTGTGCATGCAAGGGAAGAAACAAAATAGAATTGTGGAAGATACACATTCAAAGAAAAACTATATATCAACAGTAAATGAGATAAACTGCATAATCTGCAGTATGAGGCTGATTCACAAGGCAGACTAGCGGCATATTGTCAGGATGAGTCAATATGTGTAAGAACACACAGCTGCCTGAGCTCATACAAGACTTAAAGAGTCTTATATCTTCATTCTTTGAAGATTAATATATTGCACTCAATGTGAGCCTGACTGAATTTTAATCATTTAAGAGTGCATCCACGATAGGACCAGGCGGGGGTGGCACAAGCCATCTCACCGATTTCAATGAAACTTTGCCAGTTTAAAGGGATCCACCCAAAACTACTTCAGTCTAAGTTTAAGGAAATTTGGTCAAACTGGGGAGATTTCACCACCCCTCCTTGTTTTTTTTGCAAAAATGACCAAAAATCGCCTAAAAAATGGTCAGAAGTAGAAAGCTCTACTGCTTTAAGAATTCAACCAAATCTTTTCATATTTTCAGTGAATGTTATCCTACCCAAGGACAATCTATT